TAGTTATAGGTGGACAAATATCTTTATTTTATTTTTTATGTAGTGCTGAGGATCGAACCAGTGCCTCACGCAGCGAGGCAAGCGCTCTTCCTCTGAGCCACAATCCCAGCTCCTCACTCTCAATATTAACATCCTTTTGTATCCCTTGCACATGGTAGGTGTTCAGAACATTACATCAAAGGAGTCAAACATATGTAATGGGCGTTCTTCTTTCAGGCCCAGTGATAATTTCATATTGGAATTTTACTTAATACTTTACAAGATGGAGTGTAGGTATGAACTAGTGTGATTTTCACAGATCAACATGACATAGGCCAGCAGATCATGTTAAGGTACAAGGTAATCTGCTGTAACAAGATGACCTCCTCCCCCCTGCCAAAATAAACATTTACTTCTCTTTTGCATAAGAGCCCAGAAGTAGATGGGCAGATCAGGATGGTTTTACTCTATGAAGTTACCTGGGCTCCCTGGCTCCTTATATATTTTTGCCTCATTAACCCATTGAGTATGACTTTCTTCTCCACGGTTAAAGCTATTTCCCCATGGCAACCAAGACTAAGCAGAAAGAGGAGGGGCAGGGCAAATGGTTTTCTTTTAAGGAAATGACCTGGAAGTAGCACATATTACTTTCATTCACATCTCATTAGTCAAAATGTAATCACTTTACAACTTATATATGGCAAATCTGCAAAGGATACTGAGAAATCATCTTTAGGTAGCCATGTGTTCAGTTAAAGTTCAAGGACAGAGATACTATTAATAAATGGGATAATGGAAGAATGGGTATTGGGGAACAATTAAAGTCTCTACTACTTAACAGTTTTGATCAATGTTTATGGGCAATGCTCTGTGAGTACGGGCTGTTTTCCGGGATATTCAGAAGTAAAGAAGGGAAGTCTACCAACCAAAGTTTTAGATCTAGAAGAGGAAAGAAGAAAAAGGATAAAAAAAAAGATAAAGTGAGGGAGTGCCTAGTAAGAGGCTTAGACAGTCATACTGTGTGGAACCTAAGCTCGTAACAATCCATGTGGTTGGGGAGGTCAGGTCAGGTGTCACTATGAAGGTGAGACTTTAGCTAGTTCTGGAAGCCTCAAAGCATGGACAGAAGGGACTAGAGGCAGTGTGATGTTGTGGGAAGACCTCCCCACCTAACTAAGCGCAGAACCCCAGATTTGCCATATATATTGTATGATTTTGAGCAAATCACACCTCTCTGAGCCTTAGTTTTCTTATCCATAAAATGAGAATTTTTTGATCATGGCCTTCCAGCTCTAGTGGCCTTGCATGGACATTCCCCAACCCCCTCCATAGAACGCCTTACGAGAGGAAGATTTAGCTGGACTATGGAGAGGTTAAGAGAGACGCAGGACCATCCTCACTTCATTCAAACAGCTCTGCTTTTTTGTTTTTATTTATTGGTATCTGAGCAAGTCTGATTAAATGCTTCCTTTGCATAAATGCATAGCCTCTGTATGGAGCTAAAATGGGGTCAGTCACATGTACCACATACTTCCTTCTAAACAGTGAAGCTCAAGGTCGGTCTCTCTCTCTCTCTCTCTCTCTCTCTCTCTCTCTCTCTCTCTCTCTCTCTCGGTACTAGTCATTGAACCCAGGGGAGATTTACCACTGAGCCACATCTCCAGCCCTTTTTATTCTTTGTTTTGACACAGGGTCTCACTAAGTTGCTTAGGGACTCACTGAGTTGCTGAGGCTGGCTTTCACCTTATGATCCTCCTGCCTCAGCTTCCTGAGTTGCTGGGATTACAGGCATGTACCATCTTGCCCAGCTCCAAGGTCCCTCTTGACTTTAGAGTTCTCCAAAAGAACAAAACTAGGGGAGATAGAATTCCTAGCTTTATATGCTCTGTAAGA